ATCATCACACTTATCAACTGTAAGTACACTGAAAATAATTATAAAACTTTATTGCTATTCTAAAAAAATTAACTCATTATAATAAGCACTGTTATATTGTTTGTTTGTTTGCACTTACAATGTCAGTCACATTGCATGTTACTTTATATTGTTTTGGTAATTATAATTATTTTACAGAAAGTTACCAAGAAAATACTTGCCCTTTAATCAAGCAGCTGCCCAAGGACACAGACAGATTGTTAACAAATAGTGAGAAAAAGGGTAAGACTTGTGAAGAAAAGGCGAAATACAATACAAAGTTACAAGTATATGGCTTGTACTTTATACTTATATCAACTATAATTCTATAAGGGAATAATGCTGAGTATTCAATTGCTATTCCAGGGTGAGGCTGCTGTGGATTAGAGTTAGGTCTTTCAAAGATCAGCTTGTAAGCCTCGTGCATAGTTGACTCATGTACTCATAAAAATACCGTTGTACAAAATTACGTACTCACAACCACATGCAGCTAGAGGGAAAAGAGTGAAAAGTTTGTAAGTCTATTTGTTTGTAATTTCTTTAGCTATAACTTTAGCTCTTTTGCTTATTTTGCTTATTATCATTTCTTAGCGAATCGTTTATGAACAAGTTGATAATTAAACCTACGAAACGAATGCGAACCGTGATCATAACTGACCCGTCTACTGCACACAGCTTGTTCTTCAGTTGTTTATAGATTTTGACATTGTTAACTGCATTGTTGTCATGATTTATAATCCCTTGTAATTTATACATGCCTTACATGTTTTCAATTTTTGTCATAGGAAAAAGATGATCACAACTGAAATTCTCAAGGAATGGCCAGAATCTAACCCTATACCTACATTCAGATCAAATTACACAAATGAAATAAGACAGCTACAATAGTTTCAAGAAAGGCTTGGTGATTAACGAAGAAAGGCTTGCAATTAAAGAAATATTATATTTGGCACAAATAGGCGATTTATGTTTTGATAGTCGAATATATTGATCCAATTAGCTCGCGGTCACGTAGCGTAATTTAACCACTGGATGTATACCGGTATTGTATAGTCATATGATTTTGTGCAATACGCCCTTACATAGTTTATCAAATTGTTATCTAAAAATTGGCCAATCAGAGGCCCTAAGGTAGGGGCAGATAATAGAATACACTGTGCCTAGTAATAGAGTGATTTAGCATGAAGACGCGGACGTCATCCAGGACGCCGCGCGCGGCCAAAGAGWTTGGAACGAGAAGATTTTCCCGCGTCTTGTTGTCGAGAGCGCGCGTCCGCGACGTCAAAACAACAACTTTCACGTCCTCGACAAAACGTCGCCGATAATGGCAACTTCAAGTAAAAAGTGAGTATATTTGCAGTATTTTTTTTCTCAAATTCATTTTGGTGCATACATATTTGCATTTAGAATAGAAATTATATAAAAAATAGCATTCTTTATTTTTCGCTTTTACNAAGTGAGCAAGTTTCGCGTCATGGCTTGGTATGCTGCTAAACAGATCAACCGCAATTTCTGGCTCCATGGATTTGGCTGATCCTTCGTGATTTTTGCGACAGTCATGTGGCGTTGGTGGTCGGTCCAAACGTTCAGCCACTTGACAGGTCCGGCAAATTGTAGATCGTGAACCATACGCTATTACTTTTTTAGTATTTTCGCCGATTACAGTAGCAAATCCAGTATGAGAGTCTCGAGACTTCGCCCTCTTGGACCATGCGCCATCAAAAGATCCGGATATTGGCAGTAAATCATCATCAGACACATTTGCACCTTGTTCAATAGATGATTTCTTTTCTTCCTCGAGATAATCGAGACAGCTCTTTTTAGCAGCATTTTCAAGAACAGTCCCTACTTCCCTCTCTCTTTTCTTGATTGTTTTTGTATCGGGCGGAGAAACTCCCAGAATAGACAACGTAGCTTTGGCATGTGTGGGTCCTATACCATTGTGCAGCATGGCTAAACTTAGTCTAGTATTGGCATCAATAATTGGAGGACCACGTGAACCAACCCTGTGTATAGTATTGGGCCGTATTATATTCTCAGTGCTACAATTTGTGCAATTGATCTTGAGAGTTATTCCCAGACCTTGTTTTCTTGGCTCCTCTATGATGTTGTCTAACGAGAGGGGTCCCTTTTCACAAGTGGAGCAGCATCGGAGACCATCACAAAGCATTTTTAAATTGACAATGACATGATCATTCTCTTCACTCTCCTTGAGTGAACTAGTATGACTACGGAGGACTGGGGGCTCATATTTTGGATGTTGTGTGGAAGTAAACTCTGCTCCACTCTTTTGCTGAAGATTGTTCCTTCGAATGTTTTCTTTGAGGATTCTTTGGCGTCGCTTTCGAATCACAGCTTTACGTCCACGACCTACACCGCAATTTACACCGAGTTTGACACTTTTATGAGCCTCATTACTAATAGGTGTGCATTCTGCTTTTTTCTTTTTTTCAAAATTCGCTAGCTTGCTTTGTAGAGATTTTTTTTTCCCAGCCATTTGAGAAAAGGTTAGAAAAGATGGTAGTCGACATTTGCATCGAGAGGTGATATGGTGGTGTAAAGTATCCACATTAGCATATTGCATTTTATCATGTAGTATACAATCTTGAAAATATTTTCACTACAAACTATAGATATTGAACTGAAACTTGTGCAGAAACCCGCGCGCTTTCATTTGGAACAGACTGCGCGACAAGTATCGTGATATATGACAAATCCCTTAATCTCACTATTCTTCTATAAAACAATGAAGAATGTCAACAAAGGCTTTCGGCATAATGTACAATCATCTGGAGAAATAGCAAGCACAAAATTAACATTTTTGATAATTTTACCACGTCCGCCCAAACATTTCAATTGAAAAAAGACCAAACGAAAACATATAGAGGGGATTCGGCTTCATGCTCAAGAAATTTAAAAAGATTCGTTGGACAGGTTTTTGAGATACGACGTTCGACATTCGTATCCGTCAGATGGGCAGATTAGCACTAAAACTACACTTTAAGTATTCTGGCTCTACCTCAGCAACGAATTGACGAACAGCGCCCAAACTAAACATGAATGTAGGAATAGGAACAAAGTTCACTAGCACAGAAATAGAATGATCTACATGCAATAGAAATCGAAATAACAATTTTTAACTTTAAACTCGAGTTTTTTCTTTGAAAAAGCCTGCTCCGTGTATACGAGATCATATTTTAAGTTGCGCTCGATATAATTCGTCTAAAATTTTCACACACATTTGTAATACCACTAATAACAAGGTTCAGAAATATTTTAGAAAAAATAGGGCTGGTTTGCGAAATATTCAAGTTTAAGTGTTTTACAGGATTTCCCCATAACTTGAATAAATTACACTCGATTTTCATGAAATCTATATATAACATATTTTGGTCTTTTATCCTTCATTTGACAAAATATTGACTGGATCAAAGCAAAATAAACTGCATTTCGATGCGTTTCTTTCGTCATGGTCGGTACTAAAAACAACTGTCCCCAGATACCTTAAAAAATGTCTTTCTTTGGTATCATTTTGTTGTTCAATTGAATTGATATGATTCTACATCAGTGCAAACACATATTTATACTGTCCATATGATCGTTTCCAGATCGCAAATTGAAAACATAAGCAATAATTAACAGTACTCACTTAAGCCTGTTTAATTATGTTAGACTTATTAAGATTTTCTTCAGTGTCCAGGGTGAGTACTGTTGAAAAATNAGAGAGAGGGAGATGGCAAGGGAAGACAAGAGGCAAGAGTTGGAAATTCAGAGAAAACAGCTGGAAATGCAAATGAAAGCCCAACAAGACCAGCAAGCTCAGCAATCTATGTTGATACAGCAGATGATGGCGATGATGCAACAACAACAGCAACAATTACAGGCCATGTTTCTTTCAAGACCTGGTTCAGGCAACTGAACTGAATTACATGTAACATGTAAGCTCCTAAACTTCTATTTATGTGTTTTAAAGGATATTATTATTGGATATTTTGTATCTTATTTTTTTAGAATTGTATAAGCTCTTAAGTCTTTGTAATTTGACTATAAGATCATTTTTTATGGATTAAATATACATTACAATTTACAAATTAAATATTTTMTTATCTAATTATAATATAATTCAATAAAAAKTTGTACACTTGATTATTTTATGTATTCATTGATCAATATGCCAGGCTTCAGATGTGGGTGCAAAAATTCAGTGGAATTAATTTGCATGATCTTTAATTATTATCTTTTTAAATTCAAATCTGAATAAAACCAAAAAAGCAATGTACAATCAATAACTCAAAAGAATTACAATATGCAATAAATAAAACAGMTGCTGTTGAAAGAGTTATCCACACTGAAATAGAATCTATTCCTATACTTCAAATATTAACTAACCATTGTAACAACTTTGAAYGATTTTTGCTGGTACAATGGTTTCGAAAGGCAACAAGAAGAMACGGTAAGAGTTTCAATTGATTTTATTCAAAATTAGGACAAGAATTTGTATGTTGAAATTGAACTCTATATAAATCAACAAATGTTGAGTTTGGGCTACGTGTGCTTTAGGACAAAAAAAGTGAATGTACTTTTTCTCACTCATGATTTCAACCTCATAAATTAGTATGCAATGTTTATTGTTTATTTTTGTTAGTTCATTCACATGACAGTGACAAAGTTTTCACATATTTTATATTCAGAAACAAATAGACAGACAGCCATAAGGTGGAAAATTACATACATTTCTTTGTATTTTCATTTCACCATAACTTTTTTCCTATTTTGTCAAGAGTTCTAAAACGTTCCAAAACGTTTATTTCTGGTTAAAGTGACAAAATATTCATATCTAAGGTGTATGACTTAGCTAGTTTGAGTGCAAATGTGACAAATGTACTTTTTCTCACTCATGATTTCAACCTCATAAATTATAGTATGCAGTTTGAAATTATTTATTGTCCTGAGATTTACAGTAAGGAATTCTAGATGCATTAATTGGAAAGTTATAGAAAGAATATAAACATTTGTCCCTGTAATAGGATTGGAATGCACAATACTTAATATAAAAATTAGGTAAAACCTAATAGCGGAGCTCC